GTGCTAATACACTTACATGGCTTTATAAGATGTGAAAACAATCATAGAGGACCAAAACAAAAAGTCCACAGAACGTATCTTGGCCATCCAGTCATACCTGGCAGTACTCTGGCAAAACGATTAGTACAGAACATGGATACGGTTGGTTGGTTCGTTGTAAAACGCCGCAATTACCAATATTCCAGCTATATGACGGCGGTCTGCAAATAATCCCATTAGTCTTTTACGACAAGCATGGGTTCCTGAAGACCTATTCTACCCCGGAATCTTCACGGGTCTTATTATTTATAGACAAGACAAGGCTTCACAAACACACTTAGCGCATCTGTTTAATTTCAGTGTTTCACCTATTTGTTGAGTAACTATTACATGGGCCAATGATCTGTACTATTATCTGTACTTTTGGATATGTATGCGTTTGGCCCTCTTGAGAAGTGATAAATGATAGAATGACACCAGAATTTAAATGTTCCCATCCTGCAACACGGTTTATTGTTGACAGTACTGAATTGAAATGTCAAACGCAAACCTCTGGGGTTGTAAATTCAAAAATTATAATTTTCACATTTTTAAAAGCATTAGCCAAAAGGTATTTTGTTTGATTATCTTCTTCAACCTACAGGTGCTCACTTGATTACCACCGTCTCTGAAAATCAAATGATTATCAGTTTTCTAGAGAGGATGTGAAAATATCCAGACTGTGTATACATGGGGAGAGAGCTATCAGAAGAGTGAAGGAATGGCATACTTTTATGGCATAATTCCATTAACTAAAATAGGATCTGCAAATCAAATTGGACTGTTTGCTGTGTCTTTTCTAAATGATTAAAAGAGAAAACATATGAAACATAACATGGGCCTCAGTACCGACAGTCTTGTGACTTTGGACCAGACCCGTGATGATCTAGGGTGAAATAGGTCTTCAGCAATTTAACCCATGCTTGCCGTGAAAGGCGACTATGCTTGTCGAAATAGGTTTTATTGGTGTGATGTTTTACGCCGCTCTCAGCTATAAACGGTGTCTTGGGATCGATGACATGTATCAACCAAGTCAGAGAGCCTATTATACACCACCCGATCCCGTTAGTTGCCTTTTACGGCTGAAGACCTATTCTACCCAGGACATATCGCAACGATATATTATCCTGTATTCGATCATGCGGTGCTCCGATTTGCATAAGTAAACAGTCGACAAGGAGTGTGGATTACTAGATTTACCGATACCGCGATATATCATAAGACAGCGAAAGTACTATGTATGAAAGAGCTCTCATGAGACAGCGAAAGTACTATGTATGAAACTGATATAAATAAAGAAGATGATGGACTAACGTGGACTTCATGATTTTATTATATATTACATGTACACCGAGTGAACATTTACCTCATTTTTGTATATATATCTATATATCTATATCTATATATATTCATTGGCTTTCCCCGTCTTCAGCAACCCATGCTTGCCGTAAAAGGTGACTATGCTTGTCGTAAAAGGCGACTAACGGGATCGGGTGGTTAGGCTCGCTGACTTGGTTGAAAACACATCAATGCCAAATGAGAGATCTTGGAAGTGAAAAAGAAATACTTCAAATTGAAAAAAAGAGGTACTCTTTCATATTAGAAAAACACTAAAAGTCATATTCTGTCTACATTGTTACTCCATCATAATGTATTAATTGGTTATTATATAATTGATGAAAACAAGTATTTATCCCACAATAACACACGAACACGTGTCAATGAAACCCAAATGTAATACTTCAATATATATGTTATTGTTACTGGAATTAAACTGCAAGTTTGTATTGTAGCTAAAAGCAAGATCGATGACCTGAAAAGGTCCATGGGAACAACTGAAAGAGGACCTCCTATCTCAGCTTTATCCAACGTGGACGAAGTCTTTTTTTTTCCCAGTCGTTGGTGGGGCGGCCAGGTGTTCATGGCCAAGAACATAGAATTGACACTGTTGGTATGATTTCATGTAAAAGATTGATGCAGATTTTGAGGCCAACCTTTTCTCATTAATATATGTATGATACTAATAATAAAATATGACCTTTGTACGGATTTTATGATACTAGTAATAATAAAATGTGACCCTTTCACCAAGAAAACTGTTTAATTCAAATAGTATTCATATAAGTTGAAGAGATTTTTAAACATTATAAAATATTATTAATTGTGCCCATGTTATGACAAAGGTCAAAGGCAAGAACCAAAAAATAGCTGGTATTTGGTTTTTACAATAGTATTTTGGTTCCATAATGGTTCCATAATAGTATCATATTAGGTATCAAAATTAAACCAGCTGTAATATGAATGACAACATTATTTACTGATTCGCTCGGACATGATCAGCTGAATTCGACCGAGATACAGTTATTGATAAATACAGACAGTAGCGGGTGACCTCTCGCCTAGGTGTGAACACTACCAAGCTGACTGTCGTTCATTTACCTACGAACGTCAGTATGTCACGTGATTACGTTGTAAATCTCGCGCTGACATACAGAACTACTTTTGGGGAATTCCTCGATGTCTAAAAATAATAACATTAAAAATAATTACGGAAACTGAGAGCGACATCGATTTAGGCTATGAATGATGCAGACTTTGAAGTCAGAACTGTATAATGTCGGGTCACCGAAATAATGTCGGGTCCATTCGAAGCCATAACAGAGAATGCTCAACTTTTCCAAAAGAAATCACTGAGCTCCCACACTCTGCCACAGTAAATCCAAACGCGCCGCCTCAAACGGTAATGCCCGTCATCAGCAGCCGTAGTATGACTCAAACACACAGCAAAAGTTCACAGAACGTTAATATGTATCCATTTTCAGCATGAGCCGGGTCTGGAATTCTTTCCAACGCTACTTTACTGGGTGCAACTTGTATTTCAAGCGAATGACATTGCGGTAGCCGCCATTTTCTGCCGTTTGTAAAGCCAAAGGATGTCACTCCAAATGGAATGATTGGACGGATGACGTCACGACTCTCCGCGTTGATATAGTTCGCTTTCAATAATTCAAGTTTGATATTTAATGGATTGTTTTGTTATGATTTATGTATCTGTCAATATAACAAGTGAAGTGAAGTCTTCATCAGCTGATGAACGTCAACAAATACAACTTCAATCTTTAATTGAAAGAAATATTGTTACACAATATCAACTGTATTCATGTTGTTTCAGAGGTGATAACAATGCTATTTTATTTTTTGTTTAGTTTGTTTCCTTGTTTGTTGTTTTACGCCGCACTCGGCAATATTCCAGCTATATGACGGCGGTCTGTAAATAATCGCGTCTGGACCAGACAATCAAGTGATTGATATGGATTGTCAGGTCCACAAGCGATTATTTTGTACATTGAGAAATAGTAAGATAATGAATGGCAGAAGAATATCAGTGTATTGTTTAAACACTATTCATGACATATGCACTTGCTCCAAAAAATCTTGAGTTTTTGTAACGTGCTGTAAAGTTTTTGTAACCTGCTCTAAAGTAAGATCATTTTAAAGCATGTATATCTAACTCTTAACATTGTGATGACAATTCAGCATTTGTGCACCTATGATGTGATTAGAAAGAAATTAATATAGACTTTCTAATGTTCATGACCACTTATAGTAGAGGAGACTAAGATATTAATCACTGGATTGTCTGGTCCAGACTCGATTTGCTGAGTGCGGCGTTAAACAACAAAACCAACCAAATCATTTGTCCAGCTTAAACTAACATTAGGCAAAGATTTGTCCTTGACATACACTATTCCGGGGTACAATAGGTCTTCAGCAACCCATGCTTGCCGTAAAAGGCGACTATAACGGGATCGGGTGGTCAGGCTCGCTGACTTTGTTCATGCATGTCATCGATCCCAATTGCGTGGATCGATGCTAAGGATATCAATCACTGGATTGTCTGGTCCAGACTCGATTATTTATACAGGCCGCCGTCATATAGCTGGACTATTGTTGAGTGCGGCGTTAAACAACCAACAATCATGACAATCACTTGATTGTCTGGTCCAGACTCGATTATTTACAGACCGCCGTCATATAGCTGGAATATTGCGGAGTGCGGCGTTAAACAACAAACCAACTAACATGACCTGAACATGCCCACTGCAACAAGTCGTATTGAACAAGAATTCTGTAAACGGGCCTATTCCAAAAAAAATTGCCGTAAAAGGCGACTAACGGGATCGGGTGGTCAGGCTCGCTGGTTTGGTTGATGCATGTATGCTCATATTATCAATCACCGGATTGTCTGGTCCAGACTCGATTATTTACAGACCGCCGTCATATAGCTGGAATATTGCTGAGTGCAGCGTTAAACAACCAACCAACCTCCCAATGAGCACGTCAGAAACATATGATTAGGGGTTTGAATCCCCGTTCGCCCCGATTATGTTTCAACTTTTGTCAGCACCATACCTGTGCTCGTTTCACCAAAGTGGTAAAAACGTTGGAGGCCTACAGCACGTGAGGCTTTCCTCCCAAATAAAGCTGACACACATGAAATATTGTTAAAAGCGGCGTTAAACCCAACTCGCTCACTCACTCACTCCGTTACTCCTCCCAATGCTTGTGGAGATGGCCGATGAGGTTTATGTGACCAAAGTTACGTTATTGGTTCTTGGAAGAACGAATCGTTGATTGTGTGTGTGCTTTGTCAATCTGCAGTTTCTGAAGAAATCTGATATTTCACTCCAATATGTGTACGGAACATACTTTGGGAAACTTGGACGTTCTAACGGAGAGACGTATCTGTTCTCGATGTACCAATGAAATCAACCCATGCTTGCCGTAAAAGGCGACTAACGGGATCGGTTGGTCAGGCTCGCTGACTTGGTTGACGCATGTCATCGATCCCAATTGCGTGGAACGATGCTCATGATATTAATCACTACATTGTCTGGTCCAGACTCGATTATTAACAGACCGCCGTCATATAGCTGAGTGCGGCGTCAAACAACAATCAAACTTTCTTTCTAAGGAATCCGTCAACTTCAATTTCTATTTATTCATATTTATTAAGTTACATCGTTGCCCAAGGCTGATATGAGGGGTATCATCACAATTGAGTGTTTCAATTCTTTCTATATTTTACTGTTGCATCCATCAGTTTCACAAAAACAGAAACGCGCTGTAAAATTGTTGTTGCTCCACTGGTGACATCCATTGGTTTCATTCATCCTGGGTAGAGATCCTAGGGGGTAACAGACTCTCATCACACCAACCCAGCCTGGAATTACAGAGAGTATGTAATGCTTTATTTCGCATAATAAAAGTCAATGTAACTGGAAGATTGGTTTCACCAAAATGGTAAACGCCTACTGGACCCGTGAAGATTCCGGGGTAGAAAAGGTCTTCAGCAACCCATGCTTGCCGTCAAAGGCGACTAACGGGATCGGGTGTTCAGGCTCGCTGACTTGGTTGATGCATGTCATTCATTCCCAATTGCCTGGATCGATGCTCATGATATTAATCACTGGATTGTCTGGTCCATGCTCGATTATTTACAGACCGCCGTCATATAGCTGGAATATTGCTGAGTGCGGCGTTAAACAACCAACCAACCAACCTACTGAATACATCAGGTCAGCCCCCCCCCCCTTTAAATTGACACGGTGAAATAACTGCAATACAGTTGACAGCGGCGTTAAGCCCGACTCAGAATCTACGTAGTACGTACCGTCTTCTGCAGGATCTTGTATTTGTGTCCCACATTTTACGTTCTCGTCATCACATTCTACGGGCTGAAATATAAGCATACACGAATCAGTTCTTGCACAATGAGTGTGTTATTTATTCTTCTCACACACCTGTGGGTGAGACACCCATTTGAGATAACTGGTACAAAACATATGTGTCAGATCGCATTCCTGCCCCGTTATCAGTTACATCGTTTGTTGTTGTCAACGTTATGTTTTTTAGAGTGTAAACCTGGATCCCACAGCGATATATATGTCCCTCCTCTTCAGCTCTCACTTCGAAGTCGAATAAAATTCAAAATACATCACGCAAACTAATACACTTCACAGTTTTGAATTCCCTCTCCTCTGATATCATTTCAGGCAAAGCAAAATTACTGAAAGTGACATTGTAAATCTTCCTGAATCACAATTCACAGCGTTATTTACTGTGTGTTTAGAAATCTAAATATGGGTTATTAAATCTAAATATGGGATATGTACTCCAAGAATTAAATTTCCAAACAAAATATTTATTGACTACGGGTAACTGTTTTTCATCAAATCACTAATGAGAATTCTGAAACGTCACTGATAAGCCTAGAATCGTTTAGAATGTTTTGGAAAATACGCATACACGAACGCCGATGTGTACATTCCGACATATTGGATTGTTTCAAAATGTCTGTTATGAGACGCCTATTAGATCAAGTATATTTCAAACTCATCTGCGATACATGCATCCCCGAATTCCTCATACATTTATTAATCAAATGACCAATGGTCTTTGTCATCAATGAAAATTATCTAGATGGAATCAAGCGAAATAAATTAGGTGTGGAAGCGAACATGCACACTGCTCGGAAAACTGTACTAACTGAAATGTAAACAGATTTTGCACTGTGTAGCATTTTTAGAGGTACTTTCGTCTAATTGTTGCATAAATTGGATCGATCACGCGTTTGAGAATATTCATAGGAAGAGTATCGTCGCACGAATTATGGAATTACTAATATATACATTTTAATGATGGGTTAATTCAACAGAAATCGTAAAGGTTTCCGCCCTGTGTGACACCATGACTAACGCATATCACGCGCACCGACGACGGTAGTTATCTGCATTTCTGACTAATTCTATTGATTACATTGGAAAACATAAAACAAAAAACAGTACGCAGATTGTCAGAATGTTTCTGATTACTTACGTGACACATTTATGTGTATACGATCCCTCAATCAACAAAAATCCACCTCTGGAAATCCCGCGTTGTGTTGTCAGTGAATACGCCATTTCGTAAAAGTCGGTCACAGGTAGTGACGTCATACGGAAATAAACATTGTTGTACATATTTGGTATTTTCTTTGAGGTGAAAACTTTTAACTCGGCATCCAGCGTGTTCTTTGTGTTTATCTAGTTTGCTGTATCATCATCGCCTTGATAATCCACAGATATGACGGTAATCTTTTCGTGTAGGGTCACATTATTTATCATAAAATGGGTAGGTTTCTCGGCAGGATAAAGCCAACGGATAAAAACGACATCCGTTGGGGTCATATGCGGTTAGAGATGCAAATATCAAAGGTCAAGTAGGGACTACTTTCACTGTTTATGAACAACTTGTCATTCGGCGATCCAGTCAGAATTAACCATCGGGAATCTAGACAACCTACTGGGATAAATGCTATCATTATGAAAAGAATAGTCTAATATACTGAAAATTAGTGTCTAATTGTTACGTCACAATGGACTGCAAAGCATTGTGATGCAATTTTATTGCACCGATATCTGCAGTGTAGATATTGAGATTACTACACGAGTGTCTGTCAGATACCGTTGATCTTACAACGAGTTGTTACAAAACGTATCTAACGAGCGAAAGTTGTAAGATCAATGATATCTGACAGGCACGAGTGCAGTATTCTAATCTGTTTCTTACACACCCTAAAATCTCACCTTTTTAGCATCGAACCGATGCATTTTGCCTATTCTCATGATTGCAGTAGCGCATTAATACATAACACCACTGTCATAAGTGACGTCATCCTATGTGCTGCTTACTACTTAATATATAAAAAATGTGACCCTACACAAAACGGTTTCCGTCATATCTGTGGATTATCAAGGCGATGATAAAATTGCAAACTAGACAAAAACAAAGAACACGCTGGGTGCAAAGTTGAAAGTTTACACCTCAAAGAAATTACCAAATATGTACAACAATGTTTACTTCCGTATGACATTACTACCGGTGACCGACTTTTACAAAATGGCGTGTTCACTGTCAACAGTACGCGGGATTTCCAGAGGCGGATTTTTGTTGATTGAGGGATCGTATCCACATAAATGTGTCACGTAAGTAATCAGAAACATTCTGACAATCTGCGTACTGTTATTTGTTTACCATGTTTACCAATGTAACAAAGAGAATAAGTCAGAAATGCAGATAACTACCGTCATCGTTGTGCGTGGTTTTAGCGTCAGTAATGGCGTCACACAGGACGGAAACTTTTACGACTTCTGTTGAATTTACCAGATCATTGTAATGTATATATGTGTATTTCCATAATTAGTGCAACGATAGCCTTCCCGTGAATATTCTCAAACGCGTGTACGAGCCAATGTATGCAACAATTAGACGAAAGTACCTCTAAAATGCTACACTGTAAAATCTGAATTTTGCTTTGTTTACATTTCAGCAAGTAGTTTTCCGAGCACAGTTTTCGTTTCCATACCTAATGTATTTTTCATGATTTCATCTAGATAATTTGCATTGGTGACAAAGACCATTTATCCATTGTTTCGAAAATGTATGAGGAATCCAGGGATGCATGTATAGCAGCTGAGTTTAATATATATCCGATCGAATAGGCGTCTCATAACTGACATTTTGTAAACACAATCCAATATGGCGGAACGTACACTTCGGCGTTCGTGTATGCGTATTTTCCAAAATATTCTAAACGATTCTAGGCTTATCAGCGACGTTTCAGAATTTACATTAGTGATTTGATACCCGTGATCGCTAATATGCTGTTTTTCTACTTTAATTATTCGAGTAAATATCCGATATTTAGATTTCTAAACACACAGTAAATATCTATATAATGCCGTGAATTGTGATTTGGCGAGATTTACAATGTACCTAATTTCCAGAAGTCACTTTCAGTAATTTTGAATTGCCTAAAGTGACAGTAAATGATAAACAGAAAGGGGAATTCAAAACTGTGAAGTTTATTAGTCTGCGTGATGTATTTTGAATTTTATTCGATTTGACTTCGAAGTGAGGGTTGAAGAGGATGGACATATGTGTCGCTGTGGCATTCAGGGGGTTTACACTCTGAAAAAAACCGATAATGTTGACATAACAACAGGTTATGTAAATGATAATAATAACAAACAAACTCGCAGACCAGGACGAGTGTGTTTATTTTTATTATTGATTACACGGTCCTGTTGTTCAATACAGACGTAGGTGAACATTCGACTGAAGCACGAGCAACTTATGAATGACTTACACTCAGGAAAGTAGTCCGTCATCATCTGACCTCAGGTCATCACCATGGAGTAGCCAATCACGGGCCTGGAATTCGATCTCACACATACGTTTGATACCAGTTATCCCAAATGGGTTTCTCACCCACATGTGTGTAAGAAATCTAGAACTCACTAAGCCAGATAACGTTATTGAGTATGACGGTGACTGACAGTACATCAAACAAAGCTAACTAAATCAGAACTAAATCACGACACAGCTGTATCCAATTATTGAATAAGAAGGCGTCAAGAAGCGACCACTCAACCTACACAAAACCACGCTCTTCGTTAGGAATATTGTGATTGGGTACATCTGGTTCTAACAGGAAGACAAGAACTCCAGAACTTCTGCTACTTCCAGACCATCAAAGACTTGAAATTGATAAAACAAGGCGCTACAAACAGTGCTGGTGAGGGTGCTGGGGGTCATCAGATAATATTTCATAATATAAGTATGTTACGGAAAAAGCACATCTATGTATCTGATACCCACAAAAATGTTATCGTGTGTGTAATTAGAAGTCGAAAAAGGTTATAACTGATTTTGACATCATAGCATATGATTTGTTTGTGTTTTGTCGCCGCCCTCAACAATATTCCAGCTATATGACGATGGTCTGTAAATAATCGAGACATCTGTTCTCCAAGATTGAAGCCCAGTTTTGAGTTAGTGAGTGAGTTCAGAGGGTATTTTTATGCTTTTACTGGAGACAAATATTTGCAGACAATCCTGTTTTGGTGGACGATTCTGTTATTGCTTTGCAAAGAAAGTTTATTTTTGGGGAAGTTTATTGTTTAACATGGGAATGAGTTAGTGAGTTTGGGTTTAACGTCGCTTTTAACAGTATTCCAGTTGTATCACGGCGTGTCAGCTTAATATGGGAGGAAAGCCCGAAGTGATGCAGGTCTCAGACGTTTACCAATTCGGTGAAACCCACGAGCACGGGTATGGTGCTGACAAACCTGCAAACTTTAACATGGGAAGTAGAGGTAAATTTGGATAAGTCTAATTCAATAGTGTTTCGACATGGCAGTAATTTGCGTAGTGTAGAAAGGTTGTTTTATTTTGCGACTGAAACGAAGACAATCGTAACTTATGATAAATATTTAGGCATGATTGTTGGGGTTTTTCCAAGGCTAGAGTCGTCCAAAGCCTGTACAGGCCTGTAAGACTACCTTTCCTGTCCGCAGAGTCGAACTCAGTCGTCTTTGTTATTTGATACCATTCAAAATATATTTGATGCTAAAATTGCACCAAGCTTATTTGTATGGTTAATAAATTTGGGGATATACGTTTAGGGAGGCCATACAAGAGGTACAGAGTAATTTCAGTTAAAAGTGTCCGGGTGTCTCTAGACGTACGTCAAGCAATGCTGTATTAGGTGATGTGGGCAGAAGTTATAGGTGTGTTCATTATTATAGTCGATATATAGGTCATTGGTGCAGATTTCTTTATAAGGAATGTTCCAGGTATCCGAGGACTTGCTGTGATATGCTGCGTATTCTTTATGATTAGGGTAAAATAAATCGCGCTCTGCATTCGTATGTTATTTATTAAATCTGTTTTTCATGTGTTTGGTTGGTTGGTTGGTTGGTTTGTTGTTTAACGCCGCACTCAACAATATCCCAGCTATATGACGGCGGTCTGTAAATAATCGAGTCTGGACCAGACAATCCAGTGATTGACATCATGAGCATCGATCCACGCTATGTGGATCGATGACATGTATCAACCAAGTCAGCGAGCCTGACCACCCGATCCCGTTAGTCGCCTTTTACGACAAGCGGATCACTCAGGACTGTGTTAATAGTAAAGCATTTTTGAGAATGTTTGCACAGAGATGTTAAGATTTACAGTTGTAGAATTGGCCTGATAATATATGAAATTCCTCTTTTATGAATTTGTATTTTATTTTCAAAACTGTAATGGATGTTGGAAAATATATAATAGAATTATTTCCTGCCAACCATTTAGTTATTAAAAGTGTTAGCTTTGTATTTGAAAATATAACAAGAAAAACACCAGACAGATTAATAGATGTACGATTGTCCTTTTTGTTACACGTATGGGCATGAGAACACCCTGAGATCCCCGCGGTCATTCCGGGTTAGTATTCGTCTCAATCTATCGATCTTATGTCCATGGTGAACATAGTTGGTTGGTTTGTTGTTTAACGCCGCACTCAGCAATATTCCAGCTATATGACGGCGGTCTGTAAATAATCGAGTCTGGACCAGACAATCCAGTGATTGATATCATGAGCATCGATCCACGCAATTGGGATCGATGACATGCATCAACCAAGTCAGCGAGCCTGACCACCCGATCCCGTTAGTCGCCTTTTACGACAAGCCTAGTCACCTTTTACGGCAAGCATGGGCTGCTGAAGACCTCTTCTACCATGGCGAACATAAACGTTGTTTGTGTTTTATTTCTTCACGTTGCCGCCGCCTACAAAATCTAGCGGGCATAGTATTAAGGGTACATTACCTTAATCCTCTCTGTGTTGACATTTGCCCCACAGAACTCGCTCCCTGCGCTGTCACACACATAACACTGCAGGCCGGAGGCTAGGATACAAAATATAATCAGTTAAATTGATTGCACCCTTTTTATATTTCCGTTACTGCAAATAGAAATGATATCATGTTTTTAGATTTGTTTTAACCGGAAAAATATCGATTGGCATGGCATGGTGGCCTTGTGATGTAAGGCACCGCAATTCGTTGTGTCAAGTTGAGTTCTTTAGTTGTGTCAAATTCAGCTAGTATTAGGTTCTGATAGCGAATAATCCTGTGTGTAAACACCATTACCGTACCCATCAAAGTGATATATGTCTACGAACTGCGTCACTTTGGGCTTTCATCCAACATCAGAGGGTGCACGGGTCGGCACTCGTCTGAGGCGCCGTATTTCAAATTTAAGAATTGCGTCCCTGGGGCACGCCAGAATCCTATAGATCCTGGTTCGCCCCGATTTTGTTTCTAGGTTTGTCAACACCATACACGTGCGCATGGGTTTCACCTAAAGGGCAAAACATCGGAGAGGAGATCTGCATCACTTCGGGCTATATTCCCACACCATAACTGGAATACTGTTAAAAATGGGATTTTGTATATTTTGTATATTAAAGATATTCTATTCACCTACAACTGCAAACAAGATATTCTGTTACATTAAAACTATGAGCCTAAACACACACACACACACACACACACACACACACACACACACACACACACACACACACACACACACACACACACACACGGCCCTCAACGAAAGGGTCGGTCTGTAGAAACTGTAGACGATATATTTCTTATGGCATTAAAATACAGGTACCGCTGCTGAAATGTGCTTCTCTGTGTAATGTTTACACGGTGGCATCGCTGTCCGTCTTCCATGCACGTGGGACCTTGTTGTAAAAGCGTTGGCTCGTCACGCTGAAGACCCGGGTTCGTTTCCCCACTTGGGCACAATGGTGAGCCTCGAATTTATCCAAACAGCACAGAATCTGGCAGGCCTAAAGGACGCAACTCTGTACAGCGATACGCGACGCCGTAGAAGACTGGGCCACCTGTTCACTCGAGTGGATGAGTGAGTGAGTTAAAGTTTAAGGTTGCATCGGTAATATCTCAACCATGTGGCCACAAGTGCAAATTATACGATTCATTAAAAGCATGTACAGTAAACCAGGAGTGACAAAAAGTGCAAATTCAACGATTCATTGAAAGCATTTACTGTAAAACAGTAAAGTATGTATTAATTATGCCAAATGACATACATTTGACCCAACTGCTTTCCTGTTCCATCCAACATTAACTGATCCTCCTTTCTTATAAAGGATTAAGTGAGTGAGTGAGTTGTGTTAAACGCTGCTTTTAACAGTATTACAGTTAAATCACGGCGTGTCAGCTTAATGTGGGAGGAAAGCCCGAAGTGATGCAGGTCTCAGACGTTTACCACTTCGGTGAAACCCACGAGCACGGGTATGGTGCTGACAAGCCTAGAAACGTAACCGGGACGAACCAGGATTCGAACCCACAATCATAGGTTTCTGCCGTGCCCAAGTGACGCAACTCTGCACAGCGAATCGCGGCGCCTTAGACGACTGGGCCATCCGTGCCCCCCTATATATGATTAAACAAAGCGACAAAAACATGTCCATAATCATAAGAAATCTCTCCTGACAATAGTCAGTTATACGATTCCGAGTATATCATAAGCATGTGTAAATGAATTACTATCAAATAGTTATTCCCATACCTAAACAAACATCAACTAAGATGGTGTTCTCCCGTTCAGCAACAGCAACACACACACACACACACACACACACACACACACACACACACACACACACACAACCATTTTATTTTATGCACACAAGGAAATGTATGCCCTCTTAACTGAACTATTCATACTGTGATCAGTTATAGACACATCTGCAAACTTCATTCTAACTTACATGGTCATAATGCTGGTTTGTTTACAAATTAGACCAAAACATATTATACCAATTTATGCCTATTAATCATTTATGCCAATAAAAGACTTTAAACCATGAACAAAATCGACTTACCAACAACAAGCGCGGCACAAAAGATGCAGATTTTCCTAAGAATATCGTTCATGTTTCTCCTTCGTGGGCTGCCGTGCAAATGTTCTCTCTAATTCACCTCACGATTTCACCTAGCGTTGTTCAAGCAGAAGTGACGATAATTATAGGTCAAGTGAAATAACAGGAAATACTTCTACAAATTGGGTAGAACTGAATGTCAGAAGTGTTCAGCTAACCAGCAAATTGCGACAATTTGAGCACGCGCTGGTTCTAGAGTATGCAACCTACAGCTGGGGGCGAAATCGCTGTGACACAAAAACATACTGCAAGGACTAGACGGCCATTGAAGATCACGGCAATATATGTTGATCACCTTTGTTTGTTGCTTAACGCAGCGCAATATTCCAGCTATATGACGGCGGGCTGTAACAAAATAAGTCTGGACTCCAGACATTGACATCATGAGCATCAATCTACGCAATTGGGATACGATGACATGCATCCACCAAGTCAGTGGGTTGCCGAAGTCTACGTTGATCACGCAAATGACGTTTCAAAACCCACCTTTAAATATTAGATGGAGTCGGAATTACCTGGAAGTTTCAGATTTCAAGCGACTGTAACTTTAGCAGGTGTATGGTCTCGGCATCGAATCGAAACCTGTTGCAATTTTAGAAGTTCAACCGTTAAAAACAAAAACATAACTTTAAAGTATGTTTCAGAAAGCCCGATAAAGATGAATTTCCTTAAGGTAAAGCCGAATTCTCACCGATTAAGTATTGACTTCGGGATATAATGTTATAGAATCGGAAAAATGAAAATGTGACCAGTGATTAAGTTCGAAATCTGCCCCACAAGTGTTGTGTTCGTGACACAAGTTGTTGGGGAAGTTGAGGTTATTCTCATCCCAAACAGGGATGTACAGCAGATAAAGGAGAGACCGAGAGTGTTGAAATTCTCTACAATTTTTTTTTTTTTGTCCTGGTCTCACTTGGCAACAAGTATGATATCAGTTAGTTTTAGTTTGTTTGTTGTTTAACCCCGCACTTAGCAATATTCCAGCTATATGACGGCGGTCTGTAAATGATCGAGTCTGGACCAGACAATCCAGTGATTGATATCATGAGCTTAACGCTACATAGTAATATCATTAATTTTATAACTCTTTTTCAGTTATAGGGTTAGGCTCGCTGAATTGGTTGATTCATGTCATCGTATCCTAATTGCGTGAATCGATGCACATGATGTCAATGTTATAAAGCTGGAATATTGCTGAGTGCGGCGTTGAATAACAAACAACGAACAAACAAACCAATCAATTATCGATACCTTAAAATGATCAGTTTCTTTTGTATTCGAGTATGGATTCAGATATATACGAAAAGAATATCACATTTATACTACATGTAGAGCACGTTTCTTTTTTTAAGAACATGATTCATGATCCAAAATAATAATTGTGACTTACAGCCCTACTTTACAGGGAAAGAGTACATTTATGTACTAAGCCTTTGATTGCCCTTGTCAATCAACGCCGTTCAGTTGAGAGTCGCAGCTGCTGTCCGCGATTCAGCTGATTACCGTCTCCTGTGTTAACCTCACTTGTAACTGGTCAATAGACACTCGGACTAAATATTGTTCATACTCGACCTTACATCTATGAAATGGTGGTTAATGATGTTCATTTGAGGACACGTATTTTCATCGATGAAAAACTGCAACTATTATATGTCACCGTGGCATGGCACTACTTGCACGAGAGAAGTGTAATCAAAATTGGTTGTCTCCGTCCACATGAAATCGTTTGCGTTCCTATCGAAATCGTTTCAGGAGCAAGAGTCGAAAACTATAACGGCGACATTAACGACATGGGGTACACACGTTCACCATACACTCCAGTTATGCCATTTCCGATGATTGTTTTCTCAATAACTTCCCCTTGTTTCTGTTTCCGAGGTACAAATAAGGACTTTGTCCCCGACACGGAGTTTAGGTCCTGGATGTTTTGGGGTTTTTTTCAGAATAAAACAATTATTAGGGTTGTTAAATAGAGAATCTCACCAGAGTGTCTTTTGATATCAAATATATCAACACGAGTTGATAAAAGTGGGAAAACTCCGAGGCTTGCCGAGGATTTTTTCCACTTTTATCAACAAGTGTTGATATATTTGACTTCAAAAGACACGAGGGTGAGATTTTATTTATCATCCAACATCATTCTTCCACTTTTTTCAGTTTGTAGACAGTAATAAGCAGTGTCTTAAGTGTAAAAAGTACTGCTAACAGCTTCAGTAGCAGAGCCATTAGTGATGTCATTTGATTGTGACGTCATGGTAACCAATGATGTCACAATGGTCTGCAAAGCATTGTGATGCAATTTTATTGCAGGGATATCTACAGTGTAGATATCGCTTGAACTCACCAAAGCGATATCTCCTGTGGGAGCCAGTTTTGGATGATAATGATATTTAGTCCACACAGTGACCATAAACTGTAGTTTCGCCGTTTGCGATTATCTTCGTGGTATTTCTATTTTTTTGATTTAACGAGCCCGATTTTCGCTTTAAAAACAACAGCTTGCAGCAACGTAATTAATATGGCAGGTAAAGTCATTATCATTTTTTTTTATAAATTTAAATGAAATTTGCAATATGTGTAAATAGTATTAGTGTTCAACGTACATGTTCCTTTCAGCGATATTTTCGATATCGACGTTGATTTTGAAGCACTTCAGCCATTTTGAAAACTGAACTACTCATGGCAATCACTCGGCCGTCTTTGTTCTGAATGTATTGTAATTAGTACATGTGTTGTTCGTAGAAGGGCAGTTTACGAGATATTGTAAATTATGACCACTAGAAAAGCAAATTACTACACTACATTTAAGACTACTATTAAACGAGAACCTTATCTATTAAGTGTAAATTTACATTAGTTTAGAACAGCTCTTTCTCGATTTCGTTGTGGCTCACATGATCTATTTATTGAAACAGGCAGATATGAAGGTATTGCAAGAGAACATAGACTCTGTAGGATTTGTAAAACTGATTGTATTAAAGATGAATATCACTTTTTATGTGTATGTCCAGCGTATAAAGATTTAAGAACAAAATATCTAAATAACTATTTCTACCGCAACCCAAACTGTAACAAATTTTGTAATTTAATGACTTGTGATTGTACAGAAACTATTAGAAATTTATCAATGTTCGTTTATCATGCTATGAAACTAAGAACATGTATGAATTTGTAACAAGCCCCAGACAATGTACTATAGGCATTTGGCCTCATAAGTACCATGAATAAAGATTGATTGATTAACCCACTGGCACTAGACCGATGTGAAAAGCAAGTATCAACAAGAAATTTTCGACGGTTTAAGAGTTCGGTTCCAGAAACAGAAAACGGATGAAGACAGACGGACGTGTATTGTTAATCCATTATATTAGGATAAATACCATGAACCCATTTCCTGCCATAGTTTCGTTTTAACCTTATTCTCTGAGAAAACAGTCCAATGAGACTACAGTGAGCGAGAGTGAGTGAGTGAGTGAGTTAAGATTTAACGTCACATCGGCAGTATTTCAGCCATATCGTGACGAGAAGTACATTAATAATACACATATTTAGACAATATAAAAAGCTGTCAACGATGGACAGTACAATAACTAGAATATCACACAGTCTATTTAAAAATTAGTTGAGAATATATAAAAGTCATAAGTATTAGTGAACAACACATTATAAAAATGGGCTAGAGATAGTCAGTAACTAAAGGGAGATCACCATACCAGGGACCATGGGGACTTACAGTGACTTTGCTTCCTGCATGGACCCTGGCTGGATTTATATCATCCCTTTAGTCACTGGCGATAGTTTACCAATTAAGCCTTATATTAAAATGACAAAAATACTACGTTTTAAAATTCCCGTATGCATAAAAATACATTGAATGATGTGGGAGTGACATACCCATTGAGCGAGAGAAACCATGTGCTGAATTAATGACAATGAATATGGAGATGGTGACGTCGCTTCCGCTACTAAATTCTGATTGTAACAAGTCATATTTTAACTTGCCATCAATATATTGCCTTTGGACGTCCAACATAGACTAACTGTAACGCACTGACATGACTAAGTTCGATGCAAGTTCCTTGACGAGAGACATCGCGATCGGGCAGTCATCCATCTGACGTTCCCTTTGATGTCAAAATCAAGTGCTAAATGACAACATGGATTACTCTTAAATTGTTGGATATTTTATTAGCTCGTCGTGGTGAAATGAAAAACAATTAAAGGACAGTTACAGACATGTTACAATAACACCAAAAAGCAGTCACTGGAAAACCGTTTTCAAAACGACAAAGACGCAGCTGTTATTTCTTTCACAATATACCACTCCAATGTCGAAAATCAAGTTGGTGTAAACAAATATCTTCGTCTAATATGAAACACGAAGTGCACATGTAATAAATATATTACAATGTGGTTATAAAACATATGAAATTGTATTAATGAAATACGAAAAAACGAATATGAGCCTCATGTGAGTCATGAGTTGTTCAAATATATCGAATATATTCTCAACATTAAACTAGTTTAAAGAAATCGGACTGAACTCTGAGGTGGACATAAAGCAATGCAACAGCAAGTGATACTAGTGAGTGAGTGAGTGAGTTGGGTTTAACGCCGCTTTTAACAGTATTCCAGTTATACCACGGCGTGTCAGCTTAATGTGGGAGGAAAGCCCGTAGTGGTGCAGGTCTTAGACGTTTACCACTTCGGTGAAACCCACGAGCACGGGTATGGTGCTGACAAACCTAGAAACATAATCGGGGCGAACCGGGATTCGAGCCCACAATCATAGGTTTCTGGCTTGCCCAAGGGACGCAACTCTGTACAGCGAATCGCAGCGCCTTAGACGACTGGGCCACCCGTGTCCCCGCAAGTGATACTAAACGACATGGCACACAAGTGATGACAAAAATGTTGTGCATAATGTATTTGTCGAGCTGAGCCTGTAGGTACAAAACGTGCTAGCAGTATACTGAATGTGAGGGAATAAAGAAACTACATGTACGAAGGTTGACCCTATCAATGGCTTTCCCAAATTGTTTCATCCATGGGGAGGAGAGGGATTTAACCAGGATACATGGAGCAAACTGGGATGCATCACAGCATGTGTTATGGATCTCCGTGGAGATTAAGATTTGTTTGTTGTTTAACGCCGCACTCAGCAATATTCAAGCTTTATGACGGCCGTCTGTAAACAATCGCGTCTGGACCAGACAATCCAGTCATTGACATCATGCAAATCGATCAAACTGGGATACGATGACATGCATCAACCAATTCAGCGAGCATAGTCACCTTTTACGGCAAGCATGGGTTGCTGAAAACCTTTTCTACCCCCGATCTTCACGGAGATTAAGACAAGTGGTAACCAGCAACCTTGATTGTACGATGCCACTTCATGGGGCGGGTGGTCAAATAATGGGACTTGGTTGATTGCGTGTCATCGCAAACAACCTTATCATCATAGTGTTGTGTTTAAAACTAGTATGTAACCATTAAAAATATCACAATACACAATAATACATTATAAAAACGGCCTATAGATCACGGCAACCAAAGTTCGGCCGCAATACTAGGGACCATGGTGACTTACGGTACCTCTGCTACCCCCAGGGATTCCTGGAGGATTTACACCATGCCTCTAGTTGATGGCCATTGTCGTCAATTTTAGCCACACACTAACAAAACCCAATTATTTTACGATGAAGATAGTAGGAATAAACGTACTTTGATTATGTGATCTTCCATACCCTCTCAGGGGGGACAATTACTTTATACTACTTTTATTATACATCCGAGATCAATTTCAGTTACAGAGTAGACACTACTAATATTATAAAATGTTTACTATGAACACAAATTAAAAAATATCAAGTCTTTTTAATAGCAAATGATTAAATGCGACGGAACATTGTTAAAACATTTCCTCATGGTGGTTTTTGGTTGGTTGCTTGTTGCTTAACGCCGCACTCAGCAATATTCCAGCTGTATGTAAATAAGTGAGTCTGGACCAGACATTTCAGTGATTGACATCATGAGCATCGATCCACGCAATTGGGATACGATGACATGCATTAATCCGATCCCTTATGATGGAAAAATCAACATAGTCAAAGTTGAAAAATAGAAAATATAGATGTTGGACCATTATGTACAATACGGTAATATCCTGGATCAACGCAATCATTGTGTTGTCCCCAAAAGCACCACAACATAAGGCGTACTGTGAGCCCTGCCCCTGGTGTTTCCTAGGCTGACATTTCGAATGGAAACTACGTACAAAAACATATAATAATTATGTATTATCAATGGAAAATGTGAGCTTAAAATAGAAAGTGTTTTAAAAGTCAACTGCCTGGATTATGTCGAGGTTATAACATTTACAGAACGAGATGCGCTTTTCGGAAGGGCAAGGTCACCTAAGGTGATGCAACAGATCATGTTACTATAACGCAGGAGATACCGCAGTTGTTGTGCACACATTGAATGTTGGATATCAGTGTCGAGTGCATCAGTCTCACGGAGTGAGTGAATCAGGGTTTCTCCTGGCGGAGTGATTTGCATATTTAAACGTTTTCCGGGGATTCCACTTAACGGGATACTCCCTGCATAATGGAGTCAAGTTTATATTTTCCAACTTGTCCAGTTTTAAACCAAGGATGTTTGGATGCAGATGTTACCATACCAAATAGCAAGGGGTATTTGGTGCACAAACTGTTTTGAAAATGTCTTTAGAACTGCGTTAATGTCACATATCTTTCTCATATCTTTCTCTAGTTCATTTGAGGGTATGGTTTCAACCAGTCAAGTATCACTATTGGCATTCTTGAAATGTTTATGTCATTTTGAGTTTTTCTCCAGGTGTTGCTTTCGTATTGATGTATGAAATTGTCGATGGTTTAAAAGTGAATGAGTGAGTTAATTTTTTAGGTCGCATCAGCACTATTTCAGCCATATAGCGACGAGACCAAGTTCATTATAATAACAATTTAGTCATTTATGCAAAGTAATATTTAAAATAATAATTTATGAAACATATTTGAGCATAACAATATCACGTATACAGCTTTTGCACACGGGCTATAGGCCACCAGTTACCAAAGCAAGGGACTTAAAAGACATACTGATTCACGTTGTCACCTGGTATATCGTAAATAAGTCATCCTTAAGCTAGTCATCGTAGACACATTCTGGAACAATGTCAAGACCCGTGAAGATTCCGGGGTAGAATAGGTCTTCAGCAACCCATGCTTGCCGTAAAAGGTGACTATGCTTGTCGTAAAAGGCGACTAACGGGATCGGGTGGTCAGGTTCGCTGACTTGGTTGATGCATGTCATTGATCCCAATTGCGTGGATCGATGCTCATGATATTAATCACTGGATTGTCTGGTCCAGACTCGATTATTTACAGACCGCCGTCATATAGCTGGAATATTGCTGAGTGCGGCGTTAAACAACCAACCAACCAACCAATCAAAGGGGTTAAAACCGGAGACGGGCTGAGATACAGTGCCATCCTACTTGCCCATTACACCATTCAACCACCTTATTGTGGGCAATGAATGCTTCAAGTGGCTGAAGCAGGCGATCGCGGTCGTGTGGGTCAGCGGGATGTTTTGGTTTTGTCTACTGGAGCATATACGTTACCAAATGAAATTATTTCAACTTGGTCATACAAAACATGATAAGTAATACTTTTGCTTGTGATTGTTTGCAAATGTCTCTCGTTTTCACGAGATGTGTTCAGTTCTGCCTCGTAGCACGCTCCTACCCAGAGTTCCGGACAGCTTAAAATTTGTACCTCTGCTCTGGTCATGTGCTTTGGGCCCGTTCGTGTTTGAAGAGTCTTCTTTCACATTTAGATAATGATGTCATAATATGGTAAACTTTCATGGGGGAAATATTCAAAAACGTGACAAATTAATTCCATTTGCATTTATCCTTAGTTTATATGGTTGCCCGGCTCTACGTGCTGTCGCCGAGGCCCTATGGAGAACTAGTGAAACGGTTACTTTGATGTATAAAGATATATTGTCATGCTCCTCAGACTTGCAGGTGTAGAAGTAGATCTACATAATTATGCAAAACAGTATACAATACACACTAAAAGGTTTCCTTTAGGCCAGTCTTGTATAATATCAGAATACGTGCGTTTGTTTACAAAGAAGGTAAAAGTCGGTCACGTGATATGCAAATTAGCCTCTGACAGAGGTGTAATGCTAAACGTTGTAAAAGTCACTGAAGTCTCGTGACTGTTAATGAATGAAAAAAAGTAGTTCCGAATTATCATGAGGTCACGGTTATCCAATCAAAACGAATAAAACGCGGTCAAACTTGTACGACCCACGAGTGACATACGGATTTAGTGTCCCACAACCTGTGTGTTCACAAGGCCGTAGTGAACTTTCTTTGACGGGGGGGGGGGGGGGGGGGGGGGAGATATTTGTACAAGTATCACTTGTCCCCAACTTGTGTTTTCATGATTCAAATAGAACTGGAGAAATAAGTTCTCATTGCCCAAACCGAACTTTAAGCACAATTACGGATTATCTCATGATACCTGGTGCTGTTGGTAGTATAGCTCGATGTTACAGCGTACCAAGCTGTTTTGCTGAAGTGGCAAATCTTGTTGATAAAGCCATAGGCCGCGGTAATGCAAGTGAAATCCGATGCTGATAGACACATACTGATGCACTCCTCTATTGTTTGAATGGAGTAGACAGGTCTTTCATAATGTTCGTGGTGTACTTTGTTGTGAAAGATGGTGAAGCCTGATCCATATCCAGAGCTACCACAATCTGAAATAAGAAGCGAATTGTTTGATATGAGAATAAAGTTTGTTTATTTGTTGTTTAACGCTGCACCCCGCAATATTCCAGCTATTGTACAGCTGTCTGTAAATAATCGAGTCTGGACCAGACAATCCAATGATTGACATTATGAGCATTGGGATACGATGACATGCATCAACCAAGTCAGCGAGCCTGATCTCCCGATCCTATCAGCTTAGTCGCCTTTAAGGACAAGCATGGGTTGCTAAAGCCCTTTTTTTAGTAAATACAAACCTTGGACACAACTGCTGCCACGTTTCACATACATGATGTCACACACACAATAGCCGTTATTGCAGACCACGTTCGTCCCAGAACAATATGGAGAGCACATGCCAAAGTTTGGTGGAGTTACTGAAAATAGGATCATCCAGATACCAGAATAGGCATTAATTTGAACAGACAATATTAAAGTTAGCTGGGTGAAATAAAAAACACAATGGACACATAAATATTATTAATAACCTTTAGTCATTATGGTTTATTCTCGTCATCGTCAATACAGTACGTTTCTCCACTACCCATGAATACGTGCGATCACTGTGCAGTGTGAGGCCTTTCGTCGGTGGGGTGGAATACGCTCACCTTTTCACGAACATCAGGCATCATCACCATGTGGTAATGATTCATAAACACCTTCTAATGATATCATCGTACAAGGGACTCTGCTATGATAAGAAAGGATGTAATATGCAGTAATGTCACATTTAGGATTTTAGAATTGCACGTGAAAGAACATATAGTTATAGTAGAGTAGAAAACAATCATAAAATATTTCATACAATCTTGGAATAGTACCTTCAACACTCAAGAATTGAATAATAAAACTATTCGTTTTCTTCAGCGGTCCAGTGTTAATAAAACCCTTTCTACACAAATGAGAAATATCTGCATATCGATTGTATCCGACTATATCATCTGTATGTGTTTATGAGTTTCTATTACAGGTTTTTGCCTAAAAGTGCGCGTATCACTTCCCACCGATGGCACCCATCACAAACACATACAAAGGCAAGTCAATTGTTCACTTGATAAAACACGGGAACATATGGTACAAGTCAAAATAGGGAACTGATGCACATCATGTTTTTGTTACTGATGCGTCACATTTGGAAATGTTCGCAGATCGAGGTTCTTATCCGTTATTCTGTAGTTTCGATAATCTTTTCTTATTAGTAATTCCAATGGCAACCGTACCTGGGCACCAAGAGAAACCACAGTTCTCACTGGTCGTGCTGGAGAGAGTCTCCGAACAGTCCGCTCCTCCGTAAGCTGGAGCAGGGTTGGTGCAGGTTCGGGTTCGTGTCCTGGTTCCTGTTGCTGTGGTGCCGCAAGTCAGTGAACATACCAATGTGCCCCACGTCCCCCAAGCGCTGACGCCTCCGTCCACTGAAAAACATAGATATCAAAAGACCTGTTAATGATTATCGAATTATTTGGAAATGTCCGCAGATCGGGGTTCTTGTCCGTTATTCTGTAGTTTCGATAATCTTTTCTTATTAGTAATTGAATGACAACCTTACCTGGGCACGAAGAGAAACCACAGTTTTCACTTGTGGTGCTGGAGAGAGTCTCCGAACAGTCCGCTCCTCCGTAAGCTGGAGCAGGGTTGGTGCAGGTTCGGGTTCGTGTCCTGGTTCCTGTAGCTGTGGTGCCGCAAGTCTGTGAACATGCCAATGTGCCCCACGCACCCCAAGCGCTGACACCTCCATCAACTGAAAAACATAGATATCGAAAGACCTGTTAATGATAATCGAATTATTTGGAAATGTCCGCTGATCGGGGTTCTTAACCGTTGTTCTGTGGTTTCGTTAACCTTATCCTTATTAGTAAGTTAGTTAAGTTAGTTTGCAGGTTTTAGATACATTTACATGTATACAATCCCGGGCACGATAAAATATGTGAAGGCTCACCACGTGTATTTCAGAGCTGAAAATAAACTACAGTCAGCGTTGTGCTGAACATGTATTCAGGCCATTGTGTTTTTTTATCAGTGCTTTGTTTTTATACCCTCTTCTCCATCAACATCCCGAAAATTGACTTCATACATTATTCCCATATGGATAAGCGAATCTCGGCCTTCATCTGGACGAACGGACGCTTTAACCGCAAGGGAACCACACCACCCCTCATCAAAGGAAACATTGTATTGATCGGAAGGTATGTGTTTTGTTCAATGCTTGTCGTAAGAGGCGACTAACGGGATCGGGTGGTCAGACACGCTGACTTAGTTGATGCATATCACCGTTTCCCAATTGCGTGGATCGATGTTCATACCATTCACTGGATAGTCTGGTGCAAACTTATTACTTACAGACCACCTCATATACCGGGAATAGTTCCTGAGTGCAGCGTTAAACAACAACAAACAAAAGGTGTTTTGATTACAAGTCATGGAGATTCTATTGTAGAGTTGGTCCCCAGCAACCTATTCGTGTCTTACAAGGCGGCTGGTCAGAGTGGGCAGTTACGGTGACATCGTTGATTGTTTTATTTCTTTGTTTGCAGCACTCTGCAGGTCTGTAATTAATCTAATCAGGACCAGAAAATCCAGTGACTTACATCATGAGCTACGATCTACGCAAATAGGATCATGCGACCTGTATCAACCAAGTCAGCGAATCTGACTACCCGATCCTGTTAGTAGCCTCTCACGCCAAACATGGGTTTGTGAAACCATTCTAACCCGGCTCGTCACGGGTTTGATGATTGTTTGTCATCTCAGCCCTAAGTGTGGCGTTAAGAAACAAGCAAACCAAATAGATAGTGAAGTTACTAGATACGTTGGCTTGATTCCCGTCGAGGGCCACCTATTAACAAGCACAACTCGTAAATGTTCTGCTTACATTTGGCTCGTGTATTCACAGGCCCCTTTCATGTAGCCGAAATACTGCTCGAGTGTGGTGTAGACGCTATACGAAACGAAGCATTATCGCGATTCATAGATAAGCAAGGCTACGTGATTAAAATCTGGTGAATCAGTGTAAGTAAAAATGCATTTTCAAATCGAGTCTGGACCAGACAGTCCAGTGCTTGTCATGACTCAACCAAGTCAGCGAGCCTGACCACCCGAAGCCGTCAGTCACATCTTATGACAAGAATAGTTGCCTCTTACGGCAGGCATGGGGTCCTGAAGACCTATTCTACCCCCGATCTTCACGCAAATAGGCATTTCATGATTGCTTCTCTCCTTGGCAAATAAACGTCCATGTCGTTTATTTGTCCGATAGTTTACGAAGCGGACCTACTAAAATAAACTGCATTGTCGTTAATGATGAGTTATTGCCTCCGCGAACGTAATCAATATTCCTTCAAACAATACATTGACAACTAATATCTTTATATTTTCTGGGAAAATTACATTTCCTTGACATGGTCAGAATAAAACGACAATGGATGACATATTGAATAACAAATCCGCATCCGTTTAATTGTCCCTCCTTTGTTGGAAATTATTTCACATTAAAAATGTCCTCTTTCGTGGTAGCTGTTGTGTTAGTCTCTATTAAAATGTGAAAAATGATACCGAGACAAAAACATATTTCATCGAGACATTTTACCCAAACAATCCGAAAAATAAACAGTTAATTTCGTCATGGTCTGTTTTGGTTACTGTGATGGTAATTATATGCTTATTTTAGATTTGATAGTCAGAATGTCTTTAGTAATGACTATGTAAACACTGGTTTGAAGTAAGCGATGCCACTGCCGAATTTCTGATACTCTACCTTTGGAAATTGTTTATATTTATTCTTTTTCAAAACTAGCAACATGCTATTCTACTTTCAAACATACCACTGTGATCTGAGAATCTAGGAAGTATTTTGACTATGCTTTTCAGGATACCAGTCTTGCAAAGTATTCTAATCAACGCTACCATCCAGATTATCTTGGTTCAAGTACCGTCAGACCGATCAACTTGTACGATGTTCTTTTACTTTTGAATGACAAGATCTAGAAGCAGGTGTAATTAACAAAAGTATGCAACTTACAAAAAAGGCCGCGATCGGTTCTTACTGTGAGAATGTAAAGTTTGGTGTAAACCACTGTCAGGGAGTTTATCAATATTACAGCTAAAATGGATAGAATTATCATTAAATGCCCACAGGTTATTGAAATCTGCGGGCCAGTGAAACCAGATAGCAGTCCGCTTTTCCCTAACGACGGGATGCTATCTGTTCTATTATTTGGACGTCACTAGCAACAGGTCCGAAGTTATGGAGGAAATATCTCCACCCCTTGTATTTGCGACTAAAAAGGTAGTTTCATGTTTGCAACATCTTTACAAAAGTAACAAAAAGTATTTAGGGGCACTTAAAATCTACATACATATAGATATGATTATATACAAAATCAACTTTAACAAAAAAATATACTTGAAAACTACCAAACCACTGTTGGAAGTGAAATAATACATGCTGATCAAGTGACAAAAATGGTGCTTTGCGAAACAAACAGTCTCGACTGACGAGTTTAGCGAGACATTAACAGTGTATAACGAAACATTTTCAAGAGAATAACAAACAACCGGAACCGATATTAACTCCATAAATGACCATCTACCGTCGATTAATCTCTGGATTATTATTTCCTTATACACTTTGATTTACTTGATTTTATTCGTAGTGTGTTTTTTAACATGTGATGCAGCGTCTGCAACGCACGGAGCGTCTACGGGCTACTGGCATGCTGAAAACTGGCAGAGGTCATCGTGCTGTGGCCAATACGTTCAATGTTTCACAATGTGTAATTAGCAGGCTATGAAACAGAAACTAACAAACCCCAAATGTTGTCGATCGATCCCGCTAAGAGCGTCCCAGGTGAACGACAAGAGTACACGATCAAATTATCCGAAACCAGCCACTTCAAAATCTAGCTCAAACCCAGAATCAAACTACTGCCAACTATCATGACGCTTCTGGGGTACAAGTCTACATGCAGCTCATCTCCATGCTTGATCGCCACGTGTTCAGCCACCCCTTACAAATCGTCATATTGCCAACAAACGTCAATGGTGTACACAACGTCGGAACTGAGGTAATGGTCGCTGGTCACGTGTTATGAGTCAGATGCGGCCCGATTCACTTTGCACTACATTGATAGGCGTGGTCGTGTCTGTCGACGTCGAAATGAACGTCATACCAATGTCAGCCTAACAAAAATTTGGCGGTGGATCGGTTATGGTGTAGGGTGGCATTAATATGACTGAATGAGCCCCACTCCATATTGTGCTAGGAAAGGTCAACAGACCATTCTATCGCGTCAACATAAGGACACACTTTGTTGTCCCGTTTGAAATGCATGCGGGTTTGTGTTTTTTCTTTCAGGACGTCAACGCCTGCGCACGTAAAATCAATGTGCACATCAAACAGCACAACATCCATAGACTGCCATGGCCAGCCACGAACCCAGATCTTTTCCCCAAATATTGAACACGTCTGGGACATGATAAGAAGACGTGTGCGTCAACGTCATAGACCGCCGACCACGTTGGCTGTACCTTGATCAGGCGCTGCTAGGGACAGACTTCATCAAAACGCCATTCGGAAACTCATACGCAGTATGCCACGTCGAGTGAATGAATGTTTGACAAATCGGTATTACGCTCTAATCGTCAACTTTGAAATCTCCCACATTACACCTTTTGTCCTTCAATATAGTTGGCGGTCATGACGTCTACCGGTTGTAATGTGTTCCCAATTCGTTCATTATTATCATTCAACTATAACAAGCAACTAATACAACTGTATATCTTACAATTCTGGAAATTTTAAGCTATTTCCGAGAATGCCCTACTTTATAGGAGTTGGAAATTTTAGACGTTCCGACTCAATAAGTAAGGCATTTCGTGATTGCTTTACACCGATTGTCAATATCTCGTCATTGTGTTTTAATTACGAAGGAAATCCCAACGTGAAGATCATTGTATAATTAGTTATGGCCACAGCGAACATAATACATTGTCCATACAACAATTCATTGACTGATAACAAAACTGATATCTTTATAGTTTAATGGGATAACTAAATTTCCTTTACATGGTTAAAAAAACAACAATGGGTAACATATTGAATAACACAACTGCATCCGTTTCTTCTTCGTTCATTGGAAAATATTTCACTCTAGCAAAACATACCTATTTCTGATATTTCTAATACCGAGAGAAAAACGTATTCCATCGGGACATTTTTTCCCAAACAATCTGAAAAACAAACAGTTGATTTGACAAGGTCTGTGTAGTTTCAATATAGTGACGGTAAGTGTATGGGTCTTTTCGTCATTTGCAGCATTAGCATCTTTCAACAAACCCCTGGCCTTCCCTTGGCCTTCCCATGGGATTCCAACTATCAACCTTGATCACCGAGAAATTTAAGACCCATCTTGAAGAAAATGCCCCAAAAACATCCCCAATAACTCCCCTCTGCTTGTTCCGCAAAGTAGATAACACCTTTGTTATCCTACATCCCAACAATGACCCCAGAACCCTACTGGACCACCTTAACTCCCAAAACCCACGAATGCAGTTCACCATGGAGGTAGAAACTAATCGTCAGCTACCCTTCCTTGATGTACTTGTACAGAAAGACAATAACACCAAAGTTCAGACCACTGTTTACCGGAAACCAGCCCATACAGGTCAATATCTTCACTATGCCTCCAACCATCCACTTCAAGTCAAGAAAGGAATTATCTCAACCCTAGCGAGTCGACCCCA